TGTTGGCAAGCTGTCGAACTTGTCTCCATTGTTGCTTGTACAAGTCCTTAGAATCAAAGTTCCCTAATGGTGCGGGCCAATCACCCGTCTTCTGCGTTAGCAAGGCAGCTGGAGTGAGAATAGTTGGATTCTCAGGATCTGAAGAGACCGGAACTAAAAGTCAGCCATTGATGGTGGCCGCGACTTCTGCCATAAGGGTAGATAGAGTCTCATGTGTCAGTTTAGGTGCTTTTGCCAACATGGAATCTAGGATTCTACGAGCTATTCCAATCATGTGTTCCCACGCTCCTTCCATGTGAGATGCCCAGGGAGGATTAAATATCCATCTGCACTTGTTGGCTTTAAGGTAGGCATCGATCAGCGAGTCAGGGTGAATGCCATCATCTATCTGTAGTTCTTTACAAGCGCCTACAAAGTTCATTCCACAGTCAGATCTGAATACCTTGATTGGGACTCTGTAGGTTTGAAACCTTCTCAGGGCATTGATGAAGTAAGAGGCATCCATAGATTCAATGACTTCGATATAGACCGCTTGAATGCTGAGACAAGTGAAGAGTACTGTGTCCATCGGGCAGACACAGACCAAGGGCCAAATACATCAAGGCCTACATTGGTGAATGGTGGTTTCGAACTCAGGCGCTCGGGTGGTAGGTCAGCCATCATTTGGTGTAGAGTGTGACCCCGTTGTTTGCGACAATGTAAGCAAGACTGCAGAACAGTTGTAATACATCTTTTGGTGCCTACGATCCAGAGTTCATTCGCTCTGAGGGAACCTCGTCATAAATGTGAGTTGATAGGATGCCTGATGAACCAATAGAAAGACTTTGAATGGATGCTTTGTGGAGTTACTCTGTCTGCTTTATACCATCCAGACATTTATAAGCAGAACAGTAGAAAGATAATAAAGTCTCAACCCCGTGATGATTGAAACGACTGCAGGGTATGGTGGATTCAGGCAAGAGTAAGGGAGCCTCCCCCAACCCAACAAGGGTCAATTTAGTGACCAATTTGGATTGCAGATGTAACCACATGACATGGACTACATTTCCCAGGATGCCTTGACTACATTTCCCAGGATGTCTTAACTACGTTTACCAGGATGCCTTAATTACCTTTACCAATTCCTAACTAACTATCCCAAATCCCATTAACTCTAAACTGTCTGGACAGCACAACAGGCCTGGAATAGAATGCCAGCAATGTTAGGGCTTTTTTCACAAATAAAGTTCCCCCCTTCCCTCTCTTTCCCAGAGCCATTGCTGCAGCCTAGAAGCAGAAAGTATCTTTAAGAGTAGGCATCTATAAAGGGGAAGGTTGATGGCTTGTACAATGAACATTCGAAGTCCAGCTCCAGGTACAAGTAAAGGATCTGATCTTCACTGTGCCATCTGCCACATTTTTGGCAGCTGATTATATCCAAAAGCAAGATTTATACACCTCTGTATAAAGAAAGTTTGATACCTTGAGAAGAAGATATTACACCAAATTTACAAGTGAGTGTTTTCCTTTTAGCATGATCTCAAAGGTGGACGTGTCTTCACATCCTTGTTAATGGACAGGAAGGGAGCTAGCTGTGAGCTTTCTTGATGATAATGGAAGAGTATAAGTGTTCCAGGCTTGTGGTGATGGTTTCTAAACTACCATCTTCTTTTCCAGAAAAGAAGATCATAAAAACCACCTTCCCACTCAACTTGCCTCCCCTCCCTACAAGCAAGGTGTAATAGCATAATGAAAGAGCAGAAATGGCAGAAGATGCATTGATAATGGCTATAGTTAGCTTGTCCAAATTGATGCATCACCAGAGGAACATCAATTTGTAAATCTACCTATTGTTAATGTTGAACTGAGGTACTGGTGGCCTGTTGTTCCCAATCATTTGAATGGTCCAGGTCAAGAACAAGAAAATAGCTTTCCTCATAAGAGGACTAGAAGAGTCCCCAGGATTCAATGTTAAGCTTTTGACAGGTAAAGGAAATGTATCAAAAGTTTTTTTCAACCAGATTTATCAGAAAGGAAAGGGGGTTATAGAAATCTTAACAAAGAGATTACTTTCATTTTCAAATTTATCGCTGTTTATTGGGGCAGAACCTTCTTCATACTCTTGTTAATACAGTAACCCTTTCAATATGTGCAGATGGTCTGATTTTCTGAATTCACAAATCATTGTGACAGTTCACAGCACAAAGAATCACCAAATTAATGCCCTTGATAGGGATAGTGAAATAGTGACCCTGGGTATCGTGCAATATGTGCTACTCTGATTGACATCACAGATAACTGGAAAAATACGGTGGAATGAGCGATCTGTGAAGATTAAATGTCACAGAGAGAGGGGAAAATCAGTCATCAAATTTTGTAAACTAGACATTTACTGATACTGTTGGAAGACCTACACAGTAAAAAAGATAGTATCTACAGGAATGGTAAAAGTTGATATAGAAACATCAAAGTAGCAAATGTCAGCCAGAGTTATATGTCATTAAGAGTTAAGATCCCTCACTCAGTAGAAAACCATGGGTGAAGGTACTACCCTTGAACTGTTGTTGTTCATGTTCAACAACTTGCTGTAGAAGAAATCTGGTAAGGAAATATTACAAGGTATCAAAAGAAACAACAGAAGAGTTCAAGGAAGGAACTGGAACCTTGAAATGTATCAAATGGAAATAGAATTAGATGAAAATCACAGCCTGAGTCCCACAAAATAAGGCTTGTTCATCATGGTATTGTGAACACTGAAGTGGATTGCTTGAAAAAGGATAGCACACTTTCAAAAGTTACATAGAAATCATGGACAACTGCTATCGTCCTGATTATAGAAACCAACAGGGAGATTAGATCAGAGTGGTTATTTTAATCTGTGACTTGTTTACATACGGTCTATCAAACATAGAAGACACACATGCAAATATTAGGCATGGTGGAGCATACATAGCAATTGGAATACTTACACTTTTTGTCCCTCATTTATTAAGGGCTTTACTTTTCTGAACTGTTCAAGCTGACCCTTTAAAAAAGATTTGGCTTTAGTGCTGATGATGGTGATGGAGATAAGAGAAAACAAAATTACAAGAGCAGAGAGCAAAGGAAGGAAGGACCATAGAGAAAGCTGAAGAATGCTGGTTGTAGCAGTAAAGGCTAAGCAGTGATGCTGAATGGCACTGAAGACAATGGAATAGTCAAAATAGGCAGAGATAGGGCAGTGGCTGAGGTGAGCTTAAAGAGAAGCTGAATAAATCAAGGGCTACAGATCCAGTGTGGACCAGCAAATTACCAGTGGATCAGACACTTGGAAGCCAGTGTAAGTCAAAGGTAACCTCTTTTAAGTAGGCCCAGGGACTAGCATCTTGACAGCCCAGATACTAAAAGTTCAGAAGAAAGTTAAAGCAAAGCATTTACCACTCCCCTCAGCAACCACCCAGATGGCCTACTACCAGGATGACCACTAGAGCCTTCCAGTAGCTAAGGAAAAATAGCCTCAACCTTAACTCCAGCCCCAGTTCTCACGTGACTGTGAGGAAGGGTGAGGGGGGGGGGGGAGCCAGAATTCAGACAAGGCAAAATAAATAGTATAGCAATTTCAGAAACATAGATGCAATCATCTATTGATGGTAGAATTATTGATTAGGAAACAAAGTAGTAGCATCTTCTTTCCTAAAAAAATAATTTGCAAAAAGTTTGCAATAGCATTCCCATTTCTAAGGAATTGTGTATCTCCCTGCCTCTGACTGGTGTTGTCTAACAAATGAATAATATGGAATGGTATAAATAATATGGAATGGAACAACTCACTGCAGCCAGGTTGCTGGACCTGGCTGGTTGTCCTGTGAATGTAGAGGCTAAGACAACCTCCTCCTCCTCTTCCTTCTCCCCCTCTTCCTCCTTGATCTGGCTTATCTCCCACCCGCCAAAATACCCCTTGAACTCTAAACTCTTGGTATGCTGATATCCTGTGCACAGAAAAATATGTGATTCTCTCCCTCTTCCCCTCCCCATTTTGTCCTCCCAAATCCCCCCCCCCCCAGTCTGAGCTACAGGGGGACGAAGTTTCCCTTGCTTCTGGCATTCTCCTGCCATGAGTTACCTCATGGCAAGGCAGCCAGAGCTAGGCAGCCTGGGGTGAAGTTGCAGTGGTGAGTTGTCCTAGATCCTTAGCTTACACAGCAAATGTATTGCAGCTCACTAGAACGAAGGCATTTGCAATGATGCCTTGTTAGGAGACTGCTTCTCAGGGTAGGAAGAGTTCTCCAGTAGTTGTGGAGGTTTTTTCTTCTTCTTCTTTTTAGCTGTTGTTTATTCTTCCAACAACTCTCCCCTCTAGAGTAGATAAGATTGGGATTCAAAAATCAAGAACTAGCATCACCGCCTAGAGGCTTTAAATTATCAGCTAGTACTGCATGGTAACAGATACTGTAAAAGATATTATAAGTGGTTCAAAATCCCGAACATAAATTTGTGTGTTTTCTGTTCTCAGCTGCCCTAATACTTCATGGGAACTGCTAAAAATGTACAGGAAAATGGCTTCTCTGGTCAATTAACAAAAATCTCCATCTCATAAAAAAAATCAGTAAATTACTAGATGGCGACAAAGGCCCTTCTAACTAAGACTTCAAGATATAGTATGTAAGGCAGAAATGTTTCTGGTACTCAACTAAAGCCAGGTTTCATGTACCTGAAAGTATAATGTCAGAAAATGAAATTAAATACCAGCCTATTATACAGTATAATAGTTCATATCAAAGTACACTAAGAATCTATGAAAGGTGCAGATTTTCCTTGCTATCAATGTCAACCTTTTTAAAAATAATCAGTGATGGAGTGTTGTACATAGTTCAGACTAATCACAGTTTGCGTCAAGAATTAATAGTTTAATATTAACACATTCCAATACAGTACAGATACTTTCAAGTAAGACAATCTATATTTTAAAAACACTTTTGTGCAGGGCCAGCAAGCTGTAGACTTGAGTTTTTTTTTTTTAAATGCCAATCAACAGAATTCTGAAACACAATTCCACTGTAGCCAAGACAAGATCATGTATAAATACAGCTCAGCACTGCTGACCTAAAGAGACACACAGCAGGAATGCAATTCTGGATCGCTATGCAAAGGCTTAGTGGTTCGTATTTTATTAGATTATTTACATCACTGTGGTTATCCAAAAAGAGAACATCCTTGAGTTGTTGTTTTCCCCCCCAAAAAACCCTTACCCCTATAAAAATACAAAATACTTTCCTTCTCCCCTGATGAAACCAAAATATCCCCCCCCCACAAGCTAACAAGTGTTTAAAGAAGGGAAAAGATACTTTATTTCAACAACTTTTCTGAAAAAACTAGAAAGTACATATTGCACAGAGGGAAGTTCTAGCCCCTTTGGGAACAGCCAGGATCAGTTTGGCAAGGGAAGGGAAGAGAGAAAAAGCAATTGTGAGTGTATGCCATTGTTTACTTTCTTGGCCAAGAGAGGAAAAAGCAGGAATGTGCATACAAATCAATGCACCCAAGACACAATGATTATAAAGCATCCATCATTTTCAACACGAAGCTAACACTGTTCATTTAAAGAAAATTTGCTTTTACTTACAACATTCATGTGAAGGATTTGTTCCCTTTTGTCTCTCTCTCTCCTCACACATTATCTTAACACTCAAAGATCTAAAACAGTTTGAAGAGGGATTAAAGTGCTTTGTGAACACACACTTCCTAAAAACTTCTAACATCCAGTATCCTTTCGGCAGGCATTTCTTTCAGATTGTATTTTCACCCTGCCACCTTTAATATAATGCCTGACACATTGTGACCAACTCTGTCAGCCACCACTAGTTTACTAAACTTCAATTGACATGCCAACAAATTAGCTGTCAGCACAGAAATCAGGTCATTAGCAACAGTGCTTCAAAGAACAGTGCATAAAAAAACAGAACCATTTTTCCTACCAAGAGGGTAACGAGCTATGCTTAGAACAACGCTATACTGGACATCAAAAGAAACACTGGACCATGTTCTCTCCATAAAGGCGTATTGTTCTGAGATGGTGAAAATGAATTGTATCAGTTTTCTGTTAAACGAGTACCAAACAATACGCATTTATCACATATAGCTGGTTGCTCAAATTGAAATCTGTGTGAATTATATTTCATCAATGAGAAAACAACAATTTAAATATAATTCATAGGGAAATGCACACTTCCCAAACCTTTGGAAATTTATATTAAATAAAACAAAACATGTGGGAGGGAATGAAAAGAGACCTCTTTGGTCAAAAATAGCATTTGTAAAAGTTTGAAATACTGAACTGCTATAGCATTATAAATATATATAATATATTCTACAATCTGTGGCTTCTCTTAGGTGGCCCTTTCTACTGATTCAGAGAAACTGCAAAGGCTGGAATTACTCATAGCCATCTAGCATCGCTTTATTTCAAAATTGTGTCAATTCTGAGCACACCCAATCATTTAGCACGAGAAAGTCCCTAAGCTAGCATTTGCTATTCTATGAAAACTTGAAAATCATATACAATTTGATACAAAGTGAAGTGCCTTCAACCTTAGTCCAGCTACACCTTTGTTGCCATGGACATCTGGGGTTGCTCTTCTCTAATTTACCTAAAGAGTAAACATTAACTCTTTCCATAACTTCAGCAGAAGCTTCATCCTTGACTGTGGAAAGAAAAGGAACCACAGAATTCTAGTTCACTAGTACACAGATTCACTAGCACACAGGTAAACCAAAAGTAGATTGCTGCATCTGAAAAGAGAAGCTACAGGGATCACAGATGATTGACAAAGCAGAGAAAGATCATTCTTCCTTACTGTACATTTACAACCATTTAGCTTGGGCAGGTCTGTTTATTTAAACATAGTCCAGGTTGGAAGCATTATCCAGTCTCTACTCAACCTTCACCATGATAGAAATGCATTCCTCTGGCTACCCTGTTTGTTTTAAGACTGCTTTGCTTCTAAATTTCAGGCTATTCTATAGCGAAGAAAAAAACCCCAATTATGTCATAAGTTGTTTGGAAGATGCTGAGAGACAGATTAATTCCAAAAGGGAAGCACAGAACAAAAATCAGTCTTTTGCTTAATTTACAAGAGTAGGGACAACATTAAACAGAGGTGATGGTTTACTGTCATCTTAAAGGCTATCAAAGGTAAACAACATCTACTATTGAGTCTCAAAGATATACTGTTGAGTAAAACCACCTACTCATTAAGCTCAGATACACAGGAAAGCTAACTTGGGAAATTAAACCAATACTCTAATTAATCTCCTCTTAGACCAAGGGTCTTCAAACTTGGCAAGTTTAAGACTTGTGGGCTTCAACTCCCAGAATTCCTGAGCTAACATGATTGGAGGAGGAATTCTGGGAGTTGAAGTCCACAAGTCTTAAACTTGCCAAGTTTGAAGATCCCTGTCTTAATACCTTTTCTACTATCCCATTAGGAAATGGTGAAACTGGTTGGGGAAGGATTCAGCAAGCAATGTAGATTCTGCAGTTGACCCCATCAGCTGGTCCCCTTGAAGCTTGCTACAGCTTGCTTCTAACCTATATGTGAACCTGCCTCACCACTAGTGGATCAGATTGCTAGCCACATTGACTATCCGGCACACAACTGAACAGGAAACCCTGATCACAGTTGGCAGAGAGAGGAAGGAGCTCTGTCTATTGATTTCCCTTCAACAGGCAAAGGCAAGTATTACCAAGCCTTGCTTTCTTAACCCAAGTATTATGAAGCCTCTGCAGAGCTGAATGGCACAAATTTAGCAGGCTTGTTTGGTGACATAGGAGACAGACCATCAGTTTCTTCACTGAGTTTGAAAAACATCTCTTGTTCTCGCTTTTTCTGATTTAGTTCATCTTCTAGTGCCTGAAACACAAAGACAAAAGAGGTGAAAAGATAATGTTTTCACTAATAACAACCTTGGCTTCTCTCTGGCTTCCTGCCATCTTACAAGCAGCTGCAGGTTGAAATGAATAGGACATTAGGATAAGGATAACAAAACAGAGTATACAATGCAAACCTGCTCACAAACATTCCAACTCCTCCCTATTTGTTTTCCTCTAAATTGCAGGTCTTGGTGGAAATTAACAATTTTTTATCCTTATTTTGACCAACGGGTTTGAAATTCAGAATTTCACAATTTAATTCTGACAATGAGTGCAAATTTTTAAACACCTTTTTTCTTGGCCTAAGTTTATCTCGCCAATCCTTGAGGGTCAGGTTGTGGTTTTCATCCAGAGCTTTCAGTTTTTGGGTCTCATGTTCAACCAGAAGGTGGCACTTTTCATTCTACATAGATTGAAACAAGCAAGAGAGAGAGAGAGAGAAAAAAAATATAAGATACTTTGCAAGGAAGAAACAGCACTAGGCCTACCAACTAATTTGAGATTGCAATGACCAGCAACAAATAATATGAAGTTATCTTTCTAATATATTTCTGATATTAGGTAGAAAGAAGTCTCATTCCACCTAATTTCGCAGATTCAATGGGCCTCCATAACTTGGAGTTAGCAAATATTGCATGGTTAGTATATTGTGCTCTAGAACATAAAGACCTGAGATCTATGGTAATCCAGTTTACTGGGATTTACTGGAGTTTACTGGGTGGCTTTGAGAAAAACCACTCTCTTTCAAAACTAGCATAACTCACAGGGTTATGTTAGGATTTAAATGAATGAAATGAAAGCACATTTATTTATCCATATTTAACCCCTTGGGTAAACTTCAGATATAAATATAATTACATGCCAACGTTAAAAAAAAATCCCTGATGTTATTTCTCTCTTCTGTTTTAAGAACTGACTTTGACCAGTATTAACAAATCTTTCAGAAAATGATAACAGGTAGCTCAAAGACGTCAAATGTCCTGTACTTCTGAAGACAAACATAAGCATAAATAAAACTGAACCATTGATATTAAATTACCTGTAACTGCTGGAGTTCATTCATGTTGCCCTCACACTGAACCAACATCTCCTTCATCTGCATTTCATGCTTCTGCTGCTGTTGCACTCGCTCAGCTTTTTGTCTCTTATCTTCCTGCTGTGCAAACTATAATGGGGAGAGCACCAATAATCATGCAAGGTTTGGATGGCTTCCCACAAGAGTTATATACCTGAACTTTGAAATGCTTCAAAAGGTAACTGAAGATTACCACTGTGATTAATTATTTGTTGTCAATGAAACTGTTTTAAATCAACATCTGGGATAGTTACAGGATTTCTGGATTTTGTCTAACATTTGCTTGGAGAATGATGAATGCTTTATCAATACAATTTGATTTCATTTTTCCTTACTTAAGCTACATTAAAAATAAGAGGGACGGGTGATCATAATTACAATCTATCCACTATTTCATAAAATTAGAGTATGTGACAGAGTGGACAGGTTGAATTAGTTCTATTTTGAAACCCATTTAACACTGAAACCTAAATGTCAGTGATATGACGTGCAGGTAGACAAATAATTCCCATTAAGTTATGTCTAGCAGATTTTTACAATATAATACATTCGTTGGGTTCATTTACATGACAAGCGTAAGGCCAAAATACAGTTTAGCAATTAATTGACAGTGCATTGGTCCATACAGTATTGCTGTGGCAGTACCTGTGAGCTGGCACAGCTGAACAACCTTGGTGATTCTATCTATAGATAATTCATCATATTATTCAAAGGAGGATGCCTGGTTTGTTCTTCTCAGTCTCAGAATCCTCCATAATTTGGTAGTTGGGCCCACTAATGGATGTGGTAGCAGATACAATCAGGGAAAGTATACAATAGCATATTCCTCATTTACCATTACCTCATTTTTTAATTTAAAATATGCCTATACCTTACTCACTTTGTTAAAAAATTGTTATATTGTTATAATCCTGTAACATGTCTAAGCAAGTTATATGAACTGACTCATTGACAAAAGAATCCTCTGCTTATTTTCCATCCAGTTGTAGTATCATAGAGTTGGAAGGGAGCTTAGAGACAGGAATCCTCATATCATC